CCCCCCCCCCCCCCCCGAATAAGGCTCAGGCCCCCTGGTTCCTCCATTGCCACAGGACGTACCCCACCCCACCCCTGCGAGCAGAACTGAGCCAGGAGCTTGGTACCAAGGCTCGCCCTGAGTGCAAAACCTCCAAGTGGCTCCGAGAGGCCTGTACTCCCCAGGTCCCAAAGGTCCATCTCCTCTGGAGAAGGAGGAACGCAGGCCCAGGTCAGGCCTGGTGCTGGCTGTTTGTAGTGCAGGAGTTCTGGACTGTGCTCTGCCGCGAGAGCTGAGGCCCTGCAATCCATGGTGCTGAAGGTTCTGACGTGAATCCCGGGCCAGCCCCTGTTGCAGCAGGAGTTAGAGGGAAGTTGGTCTCTGGTTTTTCTCAGGGAATAAAACTTCTAGGGCAGTTCCAGGACGAGCTCCCACTAGCTGCCCCATGCCTGGGCAGAACTGTTTCTGACAGTGTCTCCTCTCCAGCGCTTCCCATGCTGCTTGGGCATTCCAGGGGCCCAAACACGTCCCAGAGTTTTGCCCAGTTCTCAGACATGCTGCCACTTCTTGCTCTTGGTCTGTGCTGTTGGTATTAACTAGCCATGGGCCAGGGCAGCCTCTGTAGTCATTCCCCCTCTTACAGTGGCTGAGGCAGGGCCTGAGCCAATGGCTTTGCAAATCCCACTAATTCCTTCCTTTGCTGGCGCGAGGGCCCAGGAGGTGTCTTGGCTTTCCCCGAGACAGCCCAGCCTGCTGTGTGTGCACCAGCCCATCTGCAATGAGCCTTCTCTAGTTCCCACGGCAGTGCCACGTTCAAAGGGGGACACGTGGCTGTAGCTGATCCCTATGGCAGCAGGCAGAGTTGGGAACACTGCCTGGCAAGCAGTGACTGAGGGTGTGGCTGTAGGGTGCTGACACTAACCGCACCCAGGCTGCCCTCCCCGGGGCTGGGCTGCTCTGAAAGCTGCACTGGAAAAACCATCCTGCCCTCGGCCTCAGCAACACGGTGAGGAGCAAACCCCGGTGTGGTCGCAGGGAGGCTGGGCTCTTTGCCGGGAGCCGCTCACTGAGGGGCCCCAGCAGGAGCAGGGCGAAGAGAAGAGTTTGGGGGCCCCTTTAAGGCTGCTGCCGCACCCCCCGGCGTGAAGTGGGTTCTGTCATTCCCAGGGCTTGGTTCGGTGGCTCTCAGAACCCCCACCCTACAGATTGTTCCAGTGCTCCTGGGCGCAGCCAGCCAGGCCCCCGGGGGCGCTGTGGCCCTCCCTGTGACTCAGCCCTTCTGGGCCCACCTGCCCTAGGACTGCAAGGGACAAGTCCTGGCCTCCCGTGGCTCAGCAGAGCTGCCCCATGTGGGCTGACAACAGCCCTGCCCCTCCCGACCCACCAGGCCGAGTGAAATGGGGGTTTCCGGTTTCCTGCCCTGTTGATGGGCTCCTGCCCTGTGTGTTAGGTGGGTTCTGCTGGCCTCATGCCAGTGCAGCTTGACACACGGCAGACAGCAGTTAATCCCGTTAGACGAGGGGAGTGGCTTTTATGGGCCTCGGTGGCTCTGGAGTGCACTGAAATGTCAGATGCCAGCCACCCAGCGAGCTCGGCCAGAACAATGCGCCTGAGCAACAGCCCCTGCTGCAGCGCCTGGCCGGGGGCATGCAAGGGGGGCTCCACACGCAGCCAGCCCAGCACAGAGACATGCTGCAGCTTTCCCTCTCCCACAGCTTCTCCAGGCACAAAGGGACGTAGTGCCGGAGGGGATACGGTGCTTTTGGGTTGCCAGGTGTCAGGTATTGAACCAGCCCAGGGTTTGTGCCTTCTGTCCAGTAAACAAATTCAGAAAATACCGGACATTTTGTGTTTTCACAAGGCCCGGCTTGGGCACCTGACAGAAGGCCACAGGCTGGGAAGGGAAGGGGTGGGGGAGCGGCCTGGGATTAAAGGGGTCGCGACTGCATTTCTGTCCTGGTCCCTTTTTTTTTTTTCCCCCCTCAACAGAATTTTTTTTCCTGGCTTTCTTTTTTTGCGGGGCGGAGGTGAATATTTTTGTGAAATCATCTGGCAACCCTAGATGCCTTCATGCCATGTGACTCAACAACTCAGCGGTGCTGCCAAGTCCAGGCCTGGACTCCAGTGCACCATTGGCTGCTCTTCACACCAAAGTACCAAGGGACCCTCTACTGGCAGTGTGGGACTCAGGGTTGACTGGCTCCTCACCGAGGCTGGATTCCCCCCTCAACCTGGAGGGGCCCACAGCCGTCAATCATGGAGTTGCCCATTGTCCTGTGTCCGTTGGCCCAGGGGGCCAAGACACCCCCCACCCCCGGGTCAGGTAGGAGTGGCCTCCCCATTTGTTTGTTCATTGTCCCTGCATCAACTGAGTTCTGGGGCCCTGAGCGTCCCAGCAGTTGCGGGGAAGGGGGAGGGCTGGCTGGCTGGCTGGCTGGCTTTCTCTTTCAGTCGGCTGCAGGTCTGGGTGGTTTGTTGCCCCTGTGATTTGGCCAGCAGGCCTCTGGTGGCCCTCGCTGCCTAGGCTGCATCCACCAGTCCCTCTTGCACCGTTGCCCATCCTGGCACACAGTGACCCTGCATGCTGCTCCCTCATGGCAAAGCCCGAATGCTGGGCTGTGGCTTCCAGGGGCCCTTCCATCCATGGTTCTGCTGCTGCTCAGGTAGCAGGCAAGAGCACCAATGGTTACCCAAGGTGGCTACTTGATCTGCTAGGAGCAGGAATCAGCTAGGCTGTTTCACCCACTCAGTGGCCAGCAGCCGGGGGTGGCCATGGCCAGCCTCCTGGTGCTTGGGCTGCCTTCACTGGGTAGGAGTGGGGAGAAAGGCTGCTCATCCCTTTTATCCCATGTCATAAAGACTCTGCCCCCACCTAGCCATAATCTGCCTCTTTTCATTGCTTGGCTTCTCTAGAAGAAAATGCAGTGCCCCCTGGTTGCACAGGAAGCCAGGCTGGTGTTAATCCAGGCCTGTGCTTGTTCTTGCAACCCTCCCCAGAGCCCTCTCCCCTCTGGGTGCATGCTGGAGTTGGTGCCTCCTGAAGGAACTAGTGGGAGCAGCCAACAGGCCCCCTGGCAGATCCACTCAGCCCCTTGTACCCAGGTGCAGTGCGCACCCCATGAACGGAACAGCTCCTGGTCTGCCCCAGGTGGGAGAGCACAAGGATGGGTGCCCATGTGTGCTCGAGGCTGGCTGCAAAGGAAGGTGCATGGGACCTGTGATGCAGCAAAAAGTATGGCCAGGTCACAGCTGCATACTGAGGCAGAGACCACGTTCAAACCCACTGGCCACAAGTGCAGCTCCATAGCCTCCGTGGCATTGGGCTTGCTCATGCTGGGTGTGAATTGGCGCAAGACTCTGAGCTGGAACAAGAGACGAGTGGGCAGGTTGTACTGCATGGAAACTGCTGCCTCTGCTGCTGGGAGCCACCTTCTGCCTCTCACTGGCCTTTCTTTCTAGCCCAGCTCTCTTGCTGCAGGCAGAGCCTGCATTAAGGGCTGCTCCACAGCCAAGCTGCTTACTGGGGTCATGTGAACTGTGGGAAGGTGACAGAGTCAGGTAAGTCCTGAGCTGAAACTGATGCACCGCAAGATCTTTGACAAATCATGTAATCACTGTGTGCCTCGTTTTCCCCCATATGTTGGGGGTAAGAATCATTTCTGGGGGGGGGGAGAGTGGATGCTGCAAAGATCTGTTCCTGTTTGCCTGGCAATGTGGCTGAGCAATATTTTTCTTGTCCCTAGAGCACGAGCTCTAAGCAAGGCCAGGAGAGCAGCCGGCCTTCTGGTGCTGCCTCAGCCAACTAGAGCCCAGGGCGCCGGTTTGGCCACATTTACCGTGCAGGAGAGGTGGGAGAGCAGCAAGAGGAGAGCAGCAGGGAATCTGGCAGGCTGCCAAACACAGGATGCAAGCAGGTGATACTAAAGCCCTGCCTTCATTTGGGTCAGAACTCCCAGGGCACATCCTGAGCTGCTCCATGCAGGCCAATGCAAAGGGAGTGAACCCAGAAACACCGTGTGCCCTTCCTGCGAGCACTGGGTGGTTTTACCCAAGGGAATCACAGTGCTTTCACTCTCTATGCTGTGTGCTTCCCTGGGACTGGCTGGTTAGCGTCAGTTTCTATGCTCCAGCTAGGGCTGTCAAGGAAATGTGCTGGCTTTCACAGACCAGTCTGTTCTGTTGTCATTCTTGGACGGTCTACTCCTCCGCTACCTTGTCAAGGCTCATTTCTTACTAGCCCTGCTTTTGGGGCCAAGTTTGACCCAGCCAAGTGTGATGCCTCCATCCTGGCTACCAGACTGACTGCCTAGGGTTCATTCTGGGACTATCAGAGCTTGACCCCTGAATTGTGGAGGCATAGGCAGCCTGGGGGTCTGTGACTGGAGCCCCCTGGAGGTGAATGGGGGGGATTGTTGGGGCATAAGCCCCATTTGCTGATATGGCCACGTGTAATGGATCAAGGAGCTTAACTGACCTTTCCCCCAGACAATTCTGTTACTCACCTGCTCTAGGCACTTCTGTGGGCTCAAGGTGTAACCTATTAATGTAGGCACCCGCACCCCTACCCGGTTTCTAGAGCGCAAGACATAATCTTTTGCAGGTTTGTGGGGCCTTTTAGCTGCAAAAGGTCCTTACACAGTAATAGCCTGAACTCTGTTTATTTCCTACCAAAACAGAACACACTCGCTACCCCGACAATTCTCCACCCTCCCAATAAGGCAGATGAACTTTTCGTGGTGGCCAAGCAGGATGAGATGGTTTGGGGCTCCAGCGACTGCTCAATATGAGTGGCAGGTGTTAAAGTCTGGCAGCTCTGACCTTGGGTTATGTCCTGGAATTAGATGCTAGAGAATTTCCTTTTGGATCCCTCTTTAGATACAGTAGTTACATTTGAGGCCTGCTTAGCAGTAGGTTAACCAATCATTATGAACTAAAGTACTAAATAATAATGATTTGACCAGCCCTAACATACTGCAAAACAGTTCCTTGCTCAACGATTCCCCACCAACATAGCTGATGTACATCTTGCAAAATTAGTTATGCAACAGACAGAAACAATTGAAGAACCAGAGACCATTCAGATAAACAAGAGAGAAGTAGGGACTGTAAGGCGAACAATGGAAGTAGAGGGTTCACAATCACCCCTGTAGCGAAGTGGCTCCTTGCTAGACAGAATGCCGTCTGTTATGCCCTTGGCTCTGGCTCTGATTCTGCAGGGATTGGTGCCGTTAGGACAGGAGCCTTTGTCACAGCCCAACAGTATGCTGTTTGGAGGTAATTTAGAAGGACTGTGAGGCTGTGCTCTTGTTCTGAAGATGATGGCAATGTTCTCTCCTTGATCACAGGGAGTGCCCAGTCCTGCTGCCATCTGGAGAGATGGGTCAGACTTACATCCCTGGAGGAAAACCTCCCTTCCCTAGAAGGGGGCAGTCCAAGCCCCTGGTCCAAAATTGGAGGTTCCACAAGCAGGAACAAATGGATCCCACTCCAGATGACAGGTGCTTGGTTTGGGCTGTTATACAGAGACATCCAGCTGCGTGTGCTGATCCCTGGTTTTGTGTGGGCCCTTTCCCCTTAAAGCACATCACCCTAAGGGCCTGGGGTAACCAGGCACTAATGTGAATGTGCCAGAGCAGTGATTCTGGGCCTGCCCAGTGTCAAGGGATGGAGTCAAACCCACCTGACATTATTAACTAGCAGCGGGATGGAAATCATTAATTCCTGTGCTAGCAGCTGCCAAGTTAGCTGGGGAAGAGCAGGCTGCCACTGTTGGGAGGCAGCACCCAAAACAACAGTGCAGTTGTGGGCAGGCCCCACCCTACTGCACCCCCAGGATCATGCCCATTAACACATCTGACCAAGCTGAATAGTTGGGGATTCCTGCCTCTCCAACAACACTGCGGCAGGTCAGTGGACTGCCTGCCTTCCACCATAAGGCCACATGGACTTTTCTCTTCCACCCAACCACTCAATGTGAGTATGCACCCCCGCTCGCTTGCAGAGCTGGCTCCTCTTGTGGAAGCAGGGGAAGCCAAGAGCATCTTTCTCCTGGTTTTACATTGCTTTGCTGGGCCTCTCCATACCGTAACCATGGTTCATGGTCCAGATCCAAGCAGCTCCTTCAACTACGTAGCTTGGAGGTAACAGTGTATCCTGGTAATTAAAACCTACTAATCTAATAAACAATTTTTAAAAAAGCCGGAAACTGCCTCTTCTCAGCTGAGCTCCCTGGAGGGTGGTACTGCAATGACAGAATTCTGTGGTCAATGCATGGTCTATTTATTTCCTTTTTCTAATGATGCATCGTACTGAAGAGTTGTCGCCCACATCTCCTCGTGCAGAGCTACGTCTGTATTTTCTCACAAGTCGTATAGTTTTGCTGGTGTCCTACAGCAAAGTCTTTGAGGTATTATGAGAGATCTCTTTCCTTTGCATATCCATAAAGAATAACTTGAATGTACAGCTCTGTTGTCTGCCTTTCCTGTCTCAACTGGGCAACGGCAGTTTTGTGGGGAAGGCACGGCTCATGTGGGGCACAAAGGTGAGCCCTTTCCAAAACAATTACATGGGGTGAGATCCAAAGAAAAGGGACTGTTAAAACCCCTGGGACATGGGCAGAGTGAGGGGCAAGTTACCATTTGTAGGGGGGAACAAAGTGATGTGCTGCAGATAAGAGACATGTTACTGGGGAACTGGGACCAGAGCCCACAAATGCCCATCTCCCACATGTCTAAGCCTCTGCTACTTGTGTGAGAGGCAACTTTGAAAGCTGACAGAAGTGGGAGCCATCACTAGAGGGCAGCCCCCAAAAGCCAGGACACTACAGTGTCCCTGTGATGCCAGAGGCTAGCTAGGGCATGAACTTGTCAAGAGAAGGCCCCAGCCAGGACATTTACTGTCACATGACTCTACTTGGCTCCATTTTAAGGGAGCTGGAGCACCAGGCGGGCAGAGGGAACTGGGCTGGAGCACTGGGGAGCTGGAGCAGGGGAGCCAGGCTGCCTGGGGAACTTCTTCTTCCTGTGCAAACACTAGGATGAGGTTATGGTGCCAAGCAGCCTCTCTTCCAGAGCCAGGGAGGTGTCTGTGTGGGGCTCAGGCACAATAGCAGCAGTGACCTCCCTCCCCTCAGCCTGTCTCTGGAGGTGCTGGATGCAGGGCTGTGGATAGGGGCACAAGTGAGATGCGGCCTTTGCAGGGCAGTGGGTCCTGGCTGGCAGGTGATGTATCTCAGCCCCCACCCAGTAAACGTTACCTGCCTCTGAGCACCCTGAGACCCTCTCCTTGCTGGGCACAGGCAGTGTGCTTGGCTGCGTCAGACCCTGCAGAAATAAAGGCCGGGGTTCACTTCCTCACGGCCCCTTGGCCGCAACCCTGTGGAGGGGCTACTCCCTAGCCTCCATCACTGCGCCTGACCCTCAGCTTGGCACCAGCAGGGAGTGGTTCAACACAGCACCAACCAGGCAGCAGCGCACCTGTGTGATCCTCTTCTCAGAGCATCTAGCTAGTGCATGGACTGGCCTATTCCTCAGGACCAGGTGGGTGCCAGGCTGGGCAGGGTACCAAAGATGGCAGGATGGGTGGGTACCAGGCTTGGTGCCAGGCAGGGGGTGCTAGGATGGATGATTGGCAGGCAGGGTGCCAGCCTGGAAGGGTGCTAGGCTTAATACCAGCCTGGAGAGATGCCAAGTTGGGTGGGTGTTCAGGTGGGATCCAGCCAGGATTTGCTGCCAGTTGGGATGGGTGCTATGTTTGGAGGGTGCAAGGCTGGGTGCCCGCAGTGCAAGACAGGGGGTGCCATACATGCGGGTGCTAGGCTGGGTGGTTTGCAGGTTGGCTGGGAGCCACGGTGCATTGATAGCAGGATGGGTGGCAGTCAGTGTCAGGCTGGTTGGTAGGCAGGATGGATGCATGGGTGGGTGGAAGCCAGGCTGAGTGACAGTGTGGGTACCAGGGTGGGTGCCAGGAAGGGTCGTTTACAGGATGGCTGGGGTGGATGGCTGGCAGGGTGGGTTCCAGCCAGGTGGATGGCAGGGCAGACTGTGGGCAGGGTGGGTGCCGGCAGGGTGGATTGCTGCCACGCGCACGCGCACACACACACGTGCCGCCTTGCCTCGCCCCTTCTAATTGGGCCAGCCCCAGGAGTTTTCTGTCGGCAAAGTGACCCCCCCTTGGCACTCCCCTTTAACTTTTGCAACGTTCGCGTCCCCTTTAGGAGCCCTTCGCTCTAATTGGCCGAGATCTTTGCCCCTCTACAGCATGATTGGCCGAGGCGAGACATAGTCCCGCCCCTGCTGTTATTGGCGGAGGCAGGGGGGCGCA